CTTCTCCAAAAAGACACCATCACGAGTTGTTCTCGGATTTATTGTAGAAGTAATACCCTTTGGTTTCTTTTGGATATCCCACAAAGAAACACTTATCCGATTTGGGGTGAAGTTTGTCCGAAATTAATCGCTTGACATATGCTTCGCATCCCCAAATCTTGAGAAAAGACAACCTAGGAGGTTTCTTAGTCCATAATTCATATGGATTCTTTTCAACAGCTTTTGACGGAGCTCTATTCAGTGTTAGTGCTGCTGTTTGTAGCGCATGTCCCCAGAAAGAGATAGGGAGTTCACTAAGACCCATCATTGATCGAACCATGTCTAACAAGGTTCGATTCCTCCGTTCGGACACTCCGTTCCATTGAGGAGTTCCGGGAGGTGTAATATCAATTGTACCTCGATATTATTGATCGGAAGCGGCCTCCACCTAGGCATTCCGATCACTTGATCTTACTGAAGAATTAACTCTGTAATAATTCTGAACCCTCTGTCGGAAGGATACACTTGTTGGAAGGACACCATTCCTTTCAGATCTTTCGTCGACGGTGATTGCGGGGCGAATATCTTCTTTCGAGGAGCATTCGACCAGCTGAGATTGAAGGCCAAGCACCTGGCTCGTGTACCCTACCCGGTATCCGGATTCAATGGCTCTTCATCATATCCCGATGGGAAGATTCTTCGTCCTATCACCATCGGCAGAGGCCGAGCAGCACGGAACACTATGGCTAAATTTCTAGCCGTGGATGTCCCATTTGTGTACAACGTGATCGTGGGGAGACCCCTCATTCATGACGTCCAAGGAGTCATCTCAACGTTCACCAAACAATGATTTATGTTTCGGACGAGGGACACTCCGAAAAAATAAAGGGCAGCCAAAAGGAGGCCTGAAGATGCAACCACCTCTAATCATCCAAAAGTCGATGCGAAGACAAGAATGATGAGAAGGAAAAAGAAAAGGACCGTTGCACACAAAATCCTAAAGGCTTATGAAAGGAATGGTGACCTTCCAACAAGTGTATTATTCCGATAGAGGGTTCAAAATTATTGGATAGCTAATTCTTCAGTAAGGTCAAGTGATCGGAATGCCTAGGTGGAGACCGCATCCGATCAGTAATATTAATGTTCAATTAATATTACAGCTTAATCTTGACTGAACCCTTCGGGTCAAACCCAATCGAATAACCGATCCGAGACGACGAGTCAATCCGAAGGATTTGATGAGTCGTTAGAGTTTTACGAACAAAGATGTCGGATATCGCGCTTAGAGCGTCGAGACCGAGCGTCATAAGTCGAGTCGAATTTAGAATTCGACGAGACGCGAAATCAATCAAGTTACAAGTTCGAGTTAGGCCGTAGCCTCGCATTGGCCTAGCCATGCGAAGGCTAGGCTATCTCGAGCTAGCATGTGCTTCGCAATGCTAGTCGCAAGCCTAGCATGCTAGGCGTGCTAGGCCCATGCATGCTAACTAGCCACCGCAAGCAACGCAGCCTTGCGTCTGTGTTAGCATGGCATGCACCCGGCCATCGTAAGGCTAGGCCTTGCTAGCATGCTAGGTGCTGGCAGCCTCGCACAACATCGTACAACACCACGCACCAGCCAGCAGTGTGCTGGCCTGTGCATGTGTTTGTGCGTGTGCCTCGCATAGCATTGCACAGCACCACGCACCAGCTAGCAGCGTGATGGGATGTGCGTGTAGTGCGTGTGATTCGCATAGTAGTGCCTAGCAAGAAGCTCGCAATGGCTTGCCTAGCAGCAGCGCCCAGTGATAAGCCGTGTTTTGTGCATGATTGTTAGCCTCTTTTTAGTTGTTCTTATTAGTCTAGCTTAGTATTTTAGTTCATTTTGGTTTGATTTGGTTCAGTTTCGATGATTCGATGCTTTTATGGGTAGTTTCGTTGTTTTTGATGAATTTCAGGATTAACGAAGCTAATTTAGAGATTTTATAAAGTCATGAGACTAAACCGAGGCCCATGGACCTTCACGAAGCTCGTTGGTCGAAGAACGAGTCACTTAGGCCTTTTTGGAGTCAAGCCACGACCATGGTTAAGAGAGGCACGCCCATGCCCAGCTTAGGCACGTCTGTGCCTGAGTCTCATAAACCGAGGGAAATTCTCTAGAAGTGAGACACGTCTGTGTCTCCGCTGCTGCCTTCGAATCTACATATGAGGCACGTCCGTGCCTGGAGTCCAAAAGATGAGAAGAACCTTACTCAAAGCGAGGCACGTCCGTGCCTCTTGTAGGCACGTCCGTGCCTGTTAGGAGGATACGCTGAATTTTCTTACGTTTTCTTATCTTTTTGTTGGGAGTATAATACCCCAGACTTTATTTTATTTCACTATCTAGCATTCCTTATTAGACCTAGTTTTCTTTAAAACTTTTACGTTGCTTTTGTAATTCAAGATTCAAGTTCTACTTTTGCAATCTCCATTTATTTCAAGATTTGGTATTTTCCTTTCATCCTTTATTTCTTAATTATGTTTTCTTTGATTATTTTTGCTATTGCTTATTTCAATATGTGTGAGTAGTTTTTATATTCCAAGATCTAGGGTAGCCCAATTGTGATTGATGCATGAATTGATTCTTTAAATTCTCTAATGACAATTGCGTTTGTTTATGCTTAATTGATTGTGATTATGCCAATACTAGATTAGAGATAATTAGTATTTTTATTATTCCATAGTTTTAATCACAACGAGAGTTGGGTTTTAACGGATTTGAGTAGATCAATTTAGGGTTTGAGATTCATCACGAGAGTAGTTGAATTGATAATTGGGAAGCAAAGTAAGGTGTTTAATGTCTCTAATTTGCATGATTCCATGAGAATATGCTTGATTGTGGTTAGAGAAGCCATTGATACTCGAGAGAGGTCCTTAGTATTGATTAGGGTTTGCTTTTCCCCATGTTAATTGGATTTGTATGCTACGGGTAGATAGATAATTGCATCGATCGTAATTGTGGTGATACTTGATCTTGGATGTTTTAGTCCATTGATTTATCACATTCTCTAGATTTATTGAGTTCTTTATATATTAGTTCTTAGAATATTTCACCATTGATTGTTACTTGCTTAGTGATTATTTGAGTTTATTTAATTAGGTGAACCTTAGTCTCTTAGGATTCGATCCTTACTTGCCCGTCTACATAGTAGTGGTCTTGTTAGGTTATTTTTGTTAGGTACGCGACATGCCTATTAAATTTTGGCGCCGTTGCCGGGGACTAACGGTTTCTTTCTAATTTATTGTGATTCGTTTTCCCTAAGCTTTATTCGCTGCTCAGCTATTATCTCTTGTGTTTTTGACACTTTTCTTTTAGTTCTTTGTTGCATGCAAACTCGACATTCAGGGTCAGACGATTTAGCACCTTTGACTCTGAAATTGAAGCGACTATAAGGAGATGAAGAGGTAGAAGAAGAAGAAATTAAAACAATAGAAACATGGAAGACGACACGAAATCTCTTTTGGAGTACAATATCCCTGATACGACAACCGGACTCCTCTCTAGCATTGTCAGACCACCTGTCACTGCTCAGCACTTTGAATTGAAACCACAGTTCATTCAATTCATCTCCAATGATTCATTTGCAGGCACACCACATGATTTCCCTGTAAGTCATATTGATAGCTTTCTGGAGAAATGTGATACTATGAAAATGAATGGTGTTACAAATGATGCTATCAGACTTCGCCTTTTCCCTTTCTCACTACGGGATAGGGCAAAAGAATGGTTGAGAGATGAAGGCACTGGTTCGTTTGATACATGGGACAAGCTGGTGAAAGCTTTCCTAGTAAAGTTTTTAGGACAGGAGAAGACTGCAAGGCTGAGAAACGAACCATCTACCTTCCGGTAGTCAGATGATGAGTCCCTCTATGAGGCATTGAGGAGATTTAAGCGATTGCAGAGGCAATGCCCCCACCGTGGTATTCCTGAATGGATGCTGATTCAAACCTTCTATAATGGTGTAACCCATGAGTTCCGAATCTACATTGATGCTGCATTGGGGGGTTCTCTCTTGACAAAGAACCCAACTGAGGCAAAGGAGTTGATTGAGAAGATGGCAGCCAATGATAACTATCATCCAGGAGGCCGACATAATGTGAAGAAGGGAGGTAAATTAGATGTTGATGCTCTAACTCTTTTGACTAGTTCTGTGCAGGCATTGACAAGTAAGTTTGATAGACTCCAAGCTGGAACATCTGCTAGCTTACCTGAGACTTGTCAAATGTGTAATGTGCAAGGTCACATTGCACCCAATTGCCCACAAAATTCAAATGACATGTCGATTGAAGAAGCCAATGCATTCTGCACTTCCAACCCCAAAAGGCCATATGACCCCCACTCTAACACATATAATGAAGGTTGGAAGAATCATCCAAATTTTTCCTACAAGAATACCCAAGCCCAACAAAATCCACCTCCATCACCACCTCGAAACAACAACTACAATGCACCACCTAGTTTCCAACCAAGGCCACCTCCAGTCCAACAACCTATTCAACCACCTCCTTAAAAGTCCAACCTTAAACTAATGTTAGAAAATTTTATCACCACAACCAACAATTCCATCCAACAACAAAATGGTTCCATACAACAGTTACAAGCCCAAAGTAAGCTCATGGAAAATTAAATAAGTCAACTTGCTCATCAAGTTGGCCAATCTTTAAAGACACTGGGCACTTTTCCGGGTCAGAAAGAGCAACCACAGAAGGGGCATATGAATGCAGTAACTTTGAGGAGTGGGAAGCAATTGGAAGATCCTCCTATCAAGGAGCCATCAAGGGAGGTTGTTGAAGGAGTAAGCGGAAGTGAGAAGGTGATTGATAGTTCTAAGATCGAGGAAGAGCCAAAGGAAGTAACTTCACAATCTCTTGCTCCATATGTGCCAAAGGTTCCTTTTCCACAGAGGTAAGCTCAAGCTAAGCTAAAGAAAAAGTACGGTAAATTTCTTTATATCTTGAAAAAGCTTCATATTAATATTCCATTTTTAGATGCTATATCCGAGATGCCTTCTTATGCTAAATTTTTAAAGGATATGCTTTCTAACAAGAAAAATCTAGAAGAGAATGCTACAGTTGCTTTGACTGCAGAGTGTAGTGCTATATTGCAGAATACTCTCCCTAAAAAATTAGGCGATCCGAGTAGCTATTCAATTTCAGTGAAGCTTGGGGATATCGAAATTAACAGGGCATTATGTGATCTTGGTGCAAGTGTGAGCCTTATGCCACTCTCTATATGTAAGAAGCTGCAAATGGGTGAACTTAAACCCACACGCATATCTCTACAACTTGCAGATAGGTCAGTCAAATTTCCTTTGGGTGTACTTGAGGATGTGCCTCTTCGTGTAGGTAAATTCTTTATTCCCTGTGATTTTGTTGTGATGGAAATGGAGGAAGATGCATATGTTCCTATTATTCTTTGTAGGCCTTTCTTATCTAATGCAGGTACAATTATTGATATGAAGAATGGTAAGATCACCTTTGAGGTTGGTTATGAGAAAATGGAATACTCACTTTTGAATGCTATGGGTACTCCATCTATGGGAGAGACTATTTGTCAGGTAGATGTGCTTGATGATTTGCAGAATGAGCAACTTCCTTTGAGAAAAATAGATGATGCACTTGAAACAGTACTAGTAGGGAAGGATGATGATGGAGATTGGGAATCAAAGGAGTATATATCAGGCTACTTGAAGAAGCAAAGGCCAACCCAGTCACTACTCCAATCAGGGAAGTACTTAGTGCAGTGAGTGTTGGGGAGAGTACTACGCCTCCCGAGGTAGAGTTGAAACCTCTTCCCTTTAATCTAAAATATGCATATCTTGGTTCTAATAATTCATACCCTGTTATTGTTAATGCTGAACTCAAGGACACAAAATTGGAGTAATTGCTCACTGTTTTAAGAAAGTATAAAAGTGTAATTGGGTACACCATTGATGATATTAAGGGTATTAATCCTTCTTTTTTTATGCATAAAATCATTCTTGAGAATGATCATGCTTCCTTTATATATACTCAAAGAAGGCTTAATCCAAATATGATGGAGGTAGTGAAAAAAGAGGTTCTTAAATTGCTTGCTGCAGGAATAATCTACCATATCTCAGATAGTAAGTGGGTTAGCCCTGTACATGTAGTACCAAAGAAAGGGGGTATGACCGTTGTCAAGAATGACAAAGGTGAGCCAGTCGCCACTAGGACTGTTACAAGGTGGCGAATGTGTATTGACTATAGAAAATTAAATAAGGCCACTCGGAAGGATCATTTTCCCCTACCCTTTATTGATCAAATGCTTGAAAGGTTGGCTAAGCATTCCTTTTTTCTGTTATTTGGATGGATATTCTGGTTTTTTTCCAAATTCCTATTTGTCCTTGTGATCAGGAAAAGACTACATTCACATGTCCATATGGCACCTTTGCATATCGCAAGATGCCATTTGGATTATGCAATGCTCCAGCCACTTTTCAACGTTGTATGATGGCAATTTTTTCTGGTCTTATAGAAAATTCTATGGAAGTATTTATGGACGATTTTTCTGTCTATGCAACATCTTTCGATGTATGTCTTGAAAATCTAAAAAAGGTGCTCCACAGATGTAAGGAAGTCAATCTAATTCTAAATTGAGAAAAATGCTATTTTATGGTACAGCAGGGAATTGTCTTAAGTCATGTGGTATCAAATAAGGGTATAGAGGTTGATAAGGGTAAATAGAGGTCATAGAGCGTTTACCCCCTCCGAATTCGGTAAAAGGAGTTCGAAGTTTCCTTGGTCATGCAGGTTTTTACCGTCGCTTTATTAAGGATTTTTCAAAAATAGCTCGACCTCTAACTGAGATTTTAGCTAAGGATGTTCCTTTTGTCTTCACTGATGCTTGTCTTGAAGCTTTTAACAGGTTGAAGGAAGCTTTAATCTTTGCTCCTGTCATGCAACCCCCAGATTGGAGCTTACCGTTTGAAATCATGTGTGATGCTAGTGACTATGCGGTAGGAGTCGTTTTGGGGCAACGAAAGGATAAAAAGCTTCATGCTATTTATTATGCTAGCAAAACTCTTAGCTCTGCTCAAATGAATTATGCCACAACTGAAAAAGAGATGCTAGCTGTAATTTATGCAATTGAGAAGTTCCATTCTTATTTGGTTGGTTCAAAAGTTATTATTCATATAGATCATGCAGCCCTGATATATTTGATGAGCAAAACTCATGCCAAACCGCGGTTGATTCGGTGGATCCTTCAATTGCAAGACTATGATATAGAGATTAAGGATACAAAGGGAACTGAGAATGTTGTCGCAGATCATCTCTCCCGCCTTCTCCTCGACCCCGAGGATGGGGACGATATCCCTTTTGATGATTATTTCCCTGCCGAACATTTATTAGCTCTGTTGAAAACGGAATCACCTTGGTATGCTGACTTGGCTAATTTCCTTTCCATAGGTACAATGCCTCATGGCTACTCATCTCAACAAAGGAAGAAATTCCTTTATGAGGCAAGGAGGTACTTCTGGGATGATCCCTTCTTGTATAAGCAATGCACAGATACTGTGATTCGACGATGCATTCTAGAGAACGAGGTAAATATTATTATTTCTCATTGCCATGACTTACCGTGTGGTGAACATGTAGGTCCTTCGAAGACAACTGCAAAGATCTTGCAGTGCGGATTTTATTGGCCAACCATGTTCAAGGATGTGTACTCCTATGTCAAGGCATGTGATCGATGTCAACGGACGGGCAATATTTCTAAGAAGAATGAGATTCCACTCAACAACATACTCGAGGTCGAGTTGTTTGATGTGTAGGGGATATACTTCATGGGTCCGTTTCCTTCTTCCTATGGTAACCAATACATCTTAGTAGCCGTTGACTATGTGTCAAAGTGGGTGGAAGCTATTGCTATTCTAACCAACGATGCTCGTGTGGTAAGTAAATTTTTCAAGAAAATTATTTTTCCTCGATTTGGTTTCCCACGTGTGTTGATTAGTGACAGGGGGACATATTTCTTGGAGCATCGGTTTGAAGCAATGTTGAAGAAATATGGAGTACAACATAGGCTTGGAATTGGCTACCATCCTCAAACCAGTGGCCAAGTTGAATTATCCAACCGAGAAATCAAGTCTATTCTAGAGAAGACGGTTGCAAAGACAAGGAAAGATTGGTCCGCAAAAATTGATGATGCACTATGGGCGTACCGAACGGACTTCAAAACTCCGATAGGTACAACTCCATATAGAATAGTCTATGGAAAAGCATACCACTTGCCCGTTGAACTGGAACACCAAGAATTTTGGGCAATAAAGAGCTTGAATTTTGATGCTCAAGCAGCGGGTGAAAAGAGACTGCTACAGTTGAATGATCTAGATGAGCTACGCCTCGAAGCCTACGAAAGTTCAAAACTATACAAGGAAAAGGCAAAGAAATTGCACGATAAGGGTCTCGTGAGAAGAGAGTTCAAGGAAGGAGATCAAGTCCTTTTATTCAACTCAAGGTTGAGGCTATTTCCTGGTAAGCTTCGGTCTAGATGGTCAGGTCCATTTAAGGTTAAGAAGGTGTATCCCTACGGCACCATTGAGCTAGGAAACGCAAAAAGGAAAACCTTCAAGGTTAATGGCCAAAGAGTGAAGCATTATCGAGTTGGTGACCCTATCGATGAAGGAGTGGACATCACACTCTCCACCCCATCGCAGGAAAATTGAGCATAAAGGAGGTCAAGCTTGAGACCTTATAAACAAGCGCTAAATGGGAGGCAACCCATTCTCGATCTTTTACTTGATTTTTATTTTTATTTTTATTTGTAGATTTATCTATTTATGTTTTCACTTTTTTATTTTTCTCTCTTTATGCAGGTAAAAAAAAAAAAAAAGTTCTGCCAAAGAGGCACGTCCGTGCCTCAAACCCAGAACCCCAGCTGCAGACTCTGCTTAAGAGGCACGTCCGTGCCTCAGGCCCAGCTGTAATTCTGCTACAGAGGCACGTCCGTGCCGCCTTTCTTTATACCAGGCATGCTCGTGCCCCTCACTCTACATCTTTAATCTCTCAATCTCTCATCTCCCTCCCCACGCACACCCTTTTCTCTAAACTTCAAATCCCCTATTACCCATTCTTAATTTCATCAAGATCTTCATCCTCTCATCCTTTCTACTCCACTTATACAAAACTTTGTCATCAAAGATACAATTATACCCCATACTCATCAAAAATATTCAAACCCTAGGTTATGAAATCAATTTGGGGGTTTTTACTGATGGTGAATTTGAAGCAATTAGGTGACCAAGGAAACTTCCTAAGGTGTTTTACGTTGCAATAGCAGGTCATTTGTGGGTGTTCAACACCCACCACACCTTGGGTATACTCTTTCCATACACTTTCTCTCTCTAAGTTATTTTATGCTTAATTTGTAAAATCTTTCATATAAACTTGCTAGAGTAAGTTGTTTGTGAGTAAATCTTGCCCATTTTGTTATTGGATGAACTTGTTTGAATAGTGGTGACTAGTGAAGTTTGTGGAGTGATTGTTGAATTTTGTTAAATATTGAGGAAGATTGTGGAGTTCTTACTTTTGTGGTAGTATATTTGGTTGATTCTTGTGCTTGAATTGCATATTTTGTTGTGTTGTTGTGAATCATGGCTTCTTCTTTGAACCCTAGATGAAATCGCCCTAGGAACACATCCACATCGAATCTAAGAAACCAACCCCCACCACAACCAGCTGCCCAACTCCCTCCCATAGAAACCTACGGGATAAATTTCGGGACTAATGAAGAGCACATGAAAAACTTTTTACGAATCTGAACACGATCCATTGTCCCTGCTAGGTTTTATGACCAAGAAGCCATCGCAACTTTAGGGATGGGTAATGAAGTCCCGAGGATTTTTAGGCGTTTGGGGTGGAGTGGATTCCTAACGAAACATACCCTCACATATTCCAACATCACTTACGAGTTCCTGTCGACCTTAGTTGTCCGACGGAGATCAGATGGACACACCTAGAGATTATTCATTCAATTGCTTTGGAGAGCGCCACACCCTTACGGCGAGGGAGGTTAATGTATTACTAGGTTTCCCCACACACGGACAGTTAGGCAGACCCAACTACGATAGGTTGGATGGATATAGTGATCTCAATACGTGGAAGAACCTAACTGGGCTAGATAGTTATGATCCCAGTCACTCGAAATCCACTTGTATCATTCACCCAGCCATGCGCCTAATCTGCAGACTCTTCTCATGGACCCTATTTGCTAGATCGAACATAGGGGGAGTCTGCTCGGCTAAGGAACTCTATTTCTTGTGGCATTTGCTAGACCACCCCGACCCTTCTGACTATATAACTGACTTTGTAGATTTGGAAGAGTACAAGGTAGCCGAACCCACCCTGCTGAACATCCAGGGGCTGCAGCAAATGAATTGGGTGAGGAGATGAAGTCGTGGTCAAGGCTACGAATGGCTTGTAGGTCGACCCACATTACCCCGGCCCGTACCTTATGCATTTCTCCCACGGGAAGGGATTCCACCGGTCGCTAGAAAAGATACCTGGATCATCCCCCCTAATTTCATGTGGCCCCCTCAACATCTAGAGGGTGTCCTATTACACGTGGGGGAGGGACAAGGATACATGGACGAGGATATCCCCGGGCCAGGGTCGCAAGCACCACCTACCTTGGAGGAGCAGGTTGCCTCCATGAGGACTGATTTGGGCCACGTTATGCATGGAATGGGCGAGCTGAGGAGAGATGTTAGTGACACTCAAAGGGCGG